CTCTGGTTATTTGGCTTCTGAGAACAAACCCAGGAGACAAGTGGCCAGCTGAACTTTAGGGTCGCCGGCACTCTTGCTGCTTTTGGTAAAAAGGGAAGCCAAGGCTGAGGTCAGGTCCTTGTGTAAACCTCTAGTTGGTCACTGAAATTGTTGAATTTCCCTCCCGCACCCATTTTTGTTTTTCATTCCCTCGTTCATTTTGGAGACAAGCATTACAGGAAAACTGCAGTTTTCAGGGCAGCTACATGTTTTTTGACCCGTTGGCATCCCAGTAAAATCCTGACCTGCCAAGGGCATTTAACCCTGTATCTTGGTCCTGTATGAGGTCCAAGTTTCACAGCCATTAGGGAGCAGAGCTGATAAATGCTGTGATTTAGAGGTTGCCTAATAGAATCTTTTGCCCCAGAAGACTTTCAGAGTAAAATCCACAGTGATGCTTACAGAAAAATGGTAAGCATTAAAAGTAATGTGTTGGGCTGAAGGGGAGTAGAGACACAGCTGCCAAGTCTGGCTCGGGGGCAACGGGCAGTTGTCCACCCCAGCAGCCTGCTGCCTGCCCTGGGGGGACATACCTTTACTGTGCTGCACACATGCATTCATCCTGGCAAGAAAATCGGGCTGCTGGTGAGCACCAGTATGAGCTGTGGTCTGTCCCTTGGCATCTTCACCTTGAACAGCAGCAGAGAGAACAGGAAGGAGCAATGCCCCTAGGAAGAGAGTCTTAGGGGACAGAGGGTCTGTTCAAGGAGAGGGGTGAGCTGATCATGAGATTTCCTTCTCTGTTCCATGAGGATGGAATAAACTTGGTCTCAGCTCAGCATCCTTTGGGTGCAGTTCAGTAGCACTGGGGAACTGATGGATTAAGGATGCAAACAAATAAGTAACTAGCGATAGAACAAGAGGAAATGGCCTCAAGTTGCACCAGGGGAGATTTAGACTAGATAGGAGGAAAAATTTCTTTACTGAGAGTGGTCAAACATTGGAACAGGCTACCCAGGGAGGAGGTGGAGCCACCGTCACTGGAAATATGAAAAAAAATTGTGGATGTGGTACTTCGGGACATGGTTTAGTGGGTATGGTGGTGTTGGGTTGATGGTTGGACTTGATGGTCTTAAAGGTCTTTTCCAACCTTAATTATTTTGTGAGATCTTCCATCTCACATTCACTGACTAGAGCGTGCTGTCAAAGCTCCCAAGATGATGGGAGGTCAGATGAAGATGTAGATCCTCGTGAACTACTTGGTTATAGAATGTGTTGAGGTGCAAAGCCCACTTGTGAAAAGGGGACAATAACAGAGATTTTCAACAGAAATGTAGAAAATGTCCTGTTGAGAAGAATCAGGTGTGCCTGGCTTGCCTGCTCTGTAAAGGCTTTCACTGGCCTTGACTCATTAACTCACAAATACAGGAGAGCCAAATTACAGGCTTGTCCTCACCATAACAAGAACATAGCGATTCAAGCAGGTCACGGGCAAATTTGGACAGCAAACTGGGGGCCTGTCTGTGCGTAACACCTACAAAGTCAGGGTCTGCATCCCAGGCACGTGACTTGCAAGCTCTTTGGGGCGGATGCTGTTGCTGGGCGATGAACAGGACTCTGCCTGCTGGGTGCTGCTCCAGCACCTGGAGCCACAACCTCAAAGACACCTCTCTGCTGTCTGAACCTCAGCAACCATGACTGAAGTCACCAATAAATAAATTGATTGCTATGCTTCAGCAGGCAGCCGCAGCATCTTTTCTACTCTTCCTTTACAAGCCTTCACTCGGTCATGAGACCTGCAGATGCCACATGCCAAGACAGCACCCAGATGCCATGCATTTGCCTTTATTAGAGAGGACTTTGAAAGTTAAGATGGAGCTTAAACAAGACTGAAGCAAACTATGCGTGGGCCAGATCCTAAATACAGTTGGAATACCACGCCTGAACGGGCTGTCAAGTCTCTCCAAACCAAATTCTCATTCAAATGCCTCTTTAGTTGTTGGTAGAAATTCAGCTCAAATATAAACCAAATCGAGTTGTTTTTCAAAATACATTTCTGGAAGAAGTGGATGTGGGCACACAGAGAAAATCTATCCTTGTAGCTGCAGGTTTGATTCTCTTATACTTTGAGAACTCGCTGCCTAAGACAAAAGGCAGAAAGTGAGACTAACCAGCCTCTGCTAGCATCTTCCCTTTTGTGACAGGCTTTTAAAACATGCATGGAACCATCAACTGATAGAAAAACTGTGTGGAAGTTTGTCATTGCCAGTTCTGGTCATTTGCACTAAGTCCAGTCTGCCTCCCAAGGGGAAGTAGTGAATTAATTCCTTATTTTGCTTTGCTTGCGCAGCTTTTGCTTTACCTATTAAACTGGCTTTATCTCAACCATGAGTTTTCTCACTTTTACGCTTCGGGTTCTCTTCCCCCATCCTGCCTGGGAGCAGCAAGAGAGCGAGCAGCTGCATGGTGGTTAGCTGCCGACCAGGGCGAAACCACAACACAGAGTTTCCAAATTGCTCCTGCAATATCAATCCAGATACTGATTTGTAGTACCTGAAGATATTCGGGGGGGTGCGTGTGTGTGTGTTAGGTTTAAGTCTTATTACAGTGAAGTACAAATAGACTTTAGTCTTTAATAAAGTCCCAAACCCTCCTGTCCCCATCTGTCAGACAAAATGATAAAGCAAATCTACTTCTCCAAACAGCTGCAGTGTATTGATTTTGTGCCTTTTTTTTTTTCCCCAAATGTGAAAAATTCAGTTTCTAAATTCTAGAACAGATCATTCTTGGCTGGCCCTCAGGCAGATTCAAGATGCCCCAAACAAGTCCAATGGCACTGTAGAAAGCAGAGTATAAAGGACAATACGCAAAGCAGCACAAAAGCCTTGAATGTTCTATTTAAAGTGACTTTATTAAAACATCGTTAATATAAAATGTGACCAAGTACAATTTTTTTGTAAGAATGTTTAATAAAAACATATTAAAGAAAGAAGGAGCATCAACTCTTGTCAAAGCACAGGAAAAACCTATCAGGATAAGTAAAAAGTTCTGCAGCATGTTCTACCAGCTGGTCCCAATGTGTATTAGGGTCGAGTTGGCCGATGGAAGAGAAAGACAGCCCAGGTTCTTCCCTAAGAAGCTTTAATGTATTTAGCAGAGGTTTAAAATAACACTCCTCAACAGCAGGAGACTTCGCTTTCGGATCTCCCCATATCAAAGTAAGATCAGAACGCACATCTTCACATTGGATCTAAAACTCTTCCGCAGCTGAACGTACAGAAAATTAGATTCACTGGTAACTGTAAAACCCAGGGTTAACACTTGTCAGCTTTGAAAAGGTGCAAGTTAATACTAATGATAGACCTAAAGAATTTATGCTAAAGTTGTTCTAAGCTATATTAATGCTGGATGCTTGCAGCAAATGCTAAAAAAGGTCAGCTAAGAAAAAGAAAGCAGTGAAGTCCAGGCTGGTAGAAACGACAAGTATTTTCTGAACTGCTGAATGCAGAGGCAATATCCACGAATTACAGGAGTTTCTACATCTCAGGAAGGATGTAAAGAAGCTTTCAGAAGTCTATAAATAAGGCTATGCCATGACTTATACTCTGTGGCAATCTTTCCCTTTAGCTAAAAAACCTTTTAAGAAAACACTAGAAAAACTGGCAGGTTTGGGCTTGGTGGTTCTATTTTTTTAGCAGTAGGGAGGGGGCAGCTTACAGCATTTTCCTTGATCAACAAGTAAGTTTTAATGCTCTATCAGCATCCTCTGCTTGTTCAGAGCAAGCAGCACACCAATTAGAGGCAAGGGTTCTTCTAGGACATCTCAAACTCTTCCTGTAACAGCCAGAAGAAAACCCTGCAGCATCCAATTCTGCACATTTAACTGCCCCAGGCATTGAACCAAATGTCAAGTGCTAATCCATGAGAAGCCTAGCACAATTATGGTCTAGGAGACGGTGACTTTCTTTTAGCTTTGGCTGGGACCCATTAGACCCATTAGAGCCCCGTGTTTTGCCTTCTACCCCAAACAAATGCTAAGGGACTATTGCTGAGGTAAAGGGAAAGGTCAAACCTTTGGCATTGGAGCAGACCAGTCACTGGTTGTGCGTAGGGGGAATTAAGGCTTCAAGGTGAGGTAAACACAGTGAGAGTCAGTGTGTAAATCATGCTGCATTTCAGAGACGACAGATTCAAACGACAGCTAGTCTTGTTCTCTACATTTTAAACACCAAACAAAGATCATTCAAAAGCAGAACTGGAGGCAAGTCTGCTGAGGGCCACCTTGAGATGCCCCTTTGCACCTCGGGAACAAATGTAACCCAAATGTAGAACGCTGAAGAGAATGTACCCACAAAGAGGAAACAGCACCAAAGTTGATGAGTCCTTGAGACGATAAGCTGCTTAAAAAACAAAGAAGCCTTGTACTACTATGACCTCCCAGAAACATAGTGGTTTCCTGACACAAAGGTAATCTACACTCCAGCACTTCCCAGTGCTGTACTTCCAGCACTACTATTATGAAGAGTTATGCTCTAACAAGGAGGCAGTGAAATCGTTAGGCTTGTGTTCCCTGAAGAAAAGTTTCTCCCATTCATCAGGTGTCATCCTGTTCCCCTGCACCCACCCCCAAGTCTTTAATCCAAAGACCAGAAATGCCTGTCATTTCCCCAGGTCAATTTTCTAACACCCTGACATTATTTTAGCAGATTTGTAGGGTACAAACACAGTGCTTCTTTGGATCCATCATTTTGGCAATGCCTTTGCCCTCTTCAAAAGAAAAGTGTTTTCAAATAAGTGGTACAAAAGTTACTTTCAAACAAAATGAAACATAGAAATCAATGCAATTCTTCTTTATGCTTATTTTTCATACTGTTTTAGCTAGTTATCTGAAGTATGGAATCATTTGCTTATTTAGAACCATCGCACGTGCAATGCTATTTCTTACAAGCCATGCTAGCACAGTTTCGACTGAAAACAGCAATCTGGTCCTGTACGTTCCATTTCTAGGATACGGAGACTCTCATTTGTTTTTTTTTAACATGTATATGGTAACTTTTCCCATCCTCTCAATACAGTAGCTACTAAAAATGTTAACAGATATTAAAAAAAAAATCCAAATGAAACCACACTTCTATCACCGTTTAAAAACCAAAGCCGCATATGGTATTACAAAAGTTTATACAAAGGCAACATTTAAGAGTTTGAAAGTTACTTCTAGAAAAAGACACGAATGCTAGTAAATTAACATACAAGGAGAAAGATATTCCACTCCTTCCCCAAAATTGGTTTGATCAATTTTGAAGTATCTTTTACCAGTTGTCTAGGAAATCAAAGCCAGTCTTCAAGATAACATTGCTTGTACTAGTCTGCAAGGGGAAAAAAAAAGAAACAAGATGTTGTTGTTAATTACAGTATTTCAAACTCAGTACTTGACTGCCTATCTACAAAAGAAAGTTTAAAGTGTTGTCTGCCAATATTTCAAGTCCTTCACCTTGCTCTAGGATACCTAAGAGTCTACAACAGAAAATGCTAGACATCAAAAAATACTCAGTGACCAAAAAGGCAATTCCAGATAAAAATAGAATTCTTGTGGTGGTCTGCAGGCAAAATGTTGTTTGGTTACCACCCCCCACCCCCCCCGCCACCATGGAAAAACTCATAAAGATCAATTTTTAGACTAGAGTGGGAATTGCAGAGAATGAAACAAACACAGAATGTAAGCATCACTAATTCAATGGATTGCCTGTTGCAATGACAGCCAGTTGTTTCCAGAAAATTACACAGTTACAACTTTGTTGACAAGGTGTTTACTAGGCTATCAAGAACATGCTCACTCTTACAGTGCTGCACTTTCAGCCGTGGCTTTTAAGATTAGTGTTCAGGAAGACTATTCAAGGGACACAGCTGAGTGTCTGAACTCTCTTGCTAGAGCATGGCGCTCTTCCCCTGAATAGGGAAGATAATCCTGAAAGTGGAAACAAAGAAAATTCTATGACACTATCTTCTCTACTACTCTGTACACATTTTGACATGGGAGGATTGTTTCTCCACAGAGAGAAAACTCAGGCTTTTCAAACTATTTCAGTTAGCTAGAAAACATACACAAAGGAATTAAAACTGTAACATACCATTAACATGTAGGAAAACATGATAAAGCCTTTAACTAAAAATAAAGGACTAGTGCAGTCGCACTTTGTAGAAAAACAGGTCAAGGAGCATTATGTCTTCGCTTCAGAGAAAAATAACTAAACATAGGGCTCCAAATACTGAAGTGGCTTAAGCACTGTTCTCTCCTAAGTGCGGCCACTTCCTTCTCTTGCAAGTATTTACCTCATCCTGCATCTTTCTGACCTTACATCAACTTGTTTGGAATTTAAACAACCACTGTTGTGAAAATATGGTAGAGAAAAAGCTATGCAACATGCTTACAGCATAAAGTAATATGTCAGACTTATGCCGGAGTGATGCTACAGATTCTTAACAGAACTGCAGAGCTCTGTGTGAAGAACCACTCCTCTACTTCACAATTTTCAGGCTTCTCTTCCTTTTCTTTCCTTCACCATGTCATATCCTGTTGTTCCCTTTCTTTTCTCAAAGACCAGCATCTGTTTTTTAAATAGTTTCAATTGGCTATTGAGCTGCTTAAGGGTAGTTTTTTGTTGTTGGGTTGTTTGGGTTTTTTATTTAAAAAAACATTGAGAAGGCTAATTCTGGACGCTCATTCCATTTCCATTTTGGACTTTAAGAGAAAACACATTTGAAAGCAGCCTAGCTGCCTGGGACAGAGTACTGGGAAGCGGCTGTTGGGCTACTGCTTAAACCAGCTGAGAAACTAGTTTGCCATTCATCGCTATGCTGTCTGTACCAATGAAGTATCCTAGACTAGTTATCTACTTTTCAAGTTAAAAACCTTCTTTTTTCCATTAAGTGTTTTGCTGTTTCAAGAAAAAAAAAAAATCCTCTTTTACCTGATAGCAAGCTCTACCCCAAACTGTTAGGTAGCTTGCTATCAGTCAGCCACCAGATGCCATGTCAGCATTTCTGATATTACATTTAAATGATGCCCTTACCGTATGCACTTTACCACATAAAAAATAGTTAACATGTTGGTTAAGTAGACTTCTTTAAATTTACAGGATAAAAAGCCAGCAAGCTTAGCTATGGTTTAATGCTTTATGGAGTCCCTAATCTTCAGCCTTGTCAAGCAACCTTTTAATGTGCTATACAGGTTCTGAATCTAAGGACAGTGGATATAGCAGTCCTTACCTGTCCAGGCATTTGTGGATCTGTAAGTATAGTACCATCAGTATCTTCCTTGTTTGTCCTAGAAGATGCCAGGTCCTGTGGTGGGTCAGGAAGAAAGAAGTCATCTAGAGAACTAGCAGGGAGTTGAGTGGGTCGAGGTTTCTCCCATTCGAGAGATACAGAAGGTAGGCTGGGGGCAACAGCCTTCTCTGGCTTAGTTATGCTGGGCTTCTCAGCTTTTGCCATCTCCTTTGGAGTAGACTCTTGTCTGTAAAAAGAGGGAAGGGGTTTCTCTCCTTTCTCCATGGACTTGATCTGGCTGGGAGTCAGGGACTGGAACTCAGCCTTGTCTCCTTCAAACTTTGAGCGCTCTGCATTTATCTTCCAGAAAGAGGACTCCTCTTCCTTTCTGGATGCTATCAACCCATCAGAGCCAGGGGTCTTATTGGCCTGAGAAGATTTAGGGACTTGGACACCAGGTGCTGCTTTAACGGGCTGCCTCTGTTCATTTTGCAACTGGGTACCACTTTGTTCTTGTATGGACAGAGATGCAACGCTGAACTCCATCTGACTCTGTTCAGAGTTAAAGAAAAACAGTATTTCAAAGCCCTTCACAAAGACATGGTTTTGAACTTCTGATCCTGATGCATATAGATAACACCTTTGCCCACGGCTAGGCAACTCCCAGACAGTAGATACCACAGCAAAGCTAACTTACTTTCTCCATAAATCTTTGTAGCTACATAAAAATAGTAATTTTTAAAAGTCTGAACTGCAAGCAAATGTAAGGGTCCTAGACCTGCTGCAGGAGTCAGAGAAAGCAATAATATTCAAGGTACACAGTGCCATCCAAGATAGCAGTTCATAGCAGTGCACAGCACTAAAACATTAGAATAGCAGCACTAAAAGATGAGAACACTTGTGATCGCATTTTGAAAGCCAGAGATGTTTTACATGAAAATACAAAGCGAATAAGCTTTACAGTGTAGTTTAAAAGGCAATCTTCCATTATAGACTTTGAAATAGTTGACAACATGTTACAACTCCATCTACTTCCAAGATAAAGAATTAGATGTAATAGGTATGTGTAGATAACTGATTTTTACAATTCTAATGCCCCTCTGAAGGAAGAGAACTCTATCAGGACCAGTTCTTCACTTATTCCATAGCCTTGTTATGTTTCTCCTTGCAGTGAGGATAGCTGTACTCATTTCTGAGAAGTAACACTGGGTCAAGGAAGCAAGTGACCACCGCTAAAGCATGGTACAGATCTTGCAAAAGCCACCCAAAAGTGAACAGTACTTCAAAATGTCCACTTTACTTACCACCACTTCAGTAATCTTCGATTGTCAACTATCTGGGCACTCATTAGGTTAGTAAAAGTTAAGCCTCATTTCCTTCTGAGGAATATGTAAGCATTACTGTACTTAGGAGCATAGCACCATAGCAAGTGCCAGGAAAAAAACACCTGAGGTCTAGCATTTTGTTTGGAAAACAGAACAACGAATGCAACCCCCCCAACCCACGTTTACAGCTAGAACCATGCTATCATCATTATGGGCCTGACTAGTTTTAAAAAAGTTGAGAGGACTTTTCAATACTAGCTTTTGCTACAGGCTGTTAATAGATACTTTTGAAGTTCATTACAGATTTGTGATGTTTTCCCTATTCTACTTTATTACCTGGCCTTTCCTGAATAAAACTGCAATAGCATCTATGGGCCTGAGTCTAAACCAAGTCCTAGTTGTGTATCATTTTCACTAGAAGTGTTTGATCTTGAATCCTACATTATTGTGCATGTTAAGTTCAAACGGGCTCTAGATCTAGCAGGTCTCACACGCCTAGTAATTAACATTCAGAAACTTCTCATCAAAGTGCAAATGTTAACTCAGCAACTGATTATTTATAAAACAAATTTTTTTTAAAGTCAGCAGCTGACTACACGTAATTTGATTCATGGACTAACATCTGAACTTCCTAAAGAATTAGATGCATTAGATATTTTTCCAAGGTTATAGGCAAGGAAGCACCAAGTTCCATGTTTTTGTTAAGAATATACTGTGTTATCAAAAGACGCAGAACATAAACAAGCTGCAAGTAATTATAGCTCAGCTAGGAAAAGGCGAGTGCAAGGATACATGCAACTCTTACCAAACAGCTCAACACACCACCCTGCCTGCAAAAAACTAAGAGGAAAAACCTCAGTGCCCCAATTTTTTTTTTTTTTTTTTTAAACAAAACTCATGATGCAAAGTTAAGAGCAGGAGATTTTTCCTTAGACAAATTCTGCATAAACAAACTATGGATGCAATGGTGTTGAGGATTATTTACAGTGACTTCCATTCCCTATATTAAAAAATAGGGATTTATTTCTCTAAGCTCATTTGGCAATACTACTGAATAGAGATTTACCACCCTGAAGCTAAGATGCTTTAAGGCTTGAGAAATGATGAAATCCCAGCTTAACAAACCCACAACACAGCATAAAATAGACCTGCACTTCCCCAATAGCCAAGTGGAAAAAATTTTTAATTTTTTTTTTTCCATCTTGGAAGACTTAAGTACCTTGTCATAGAGGAATTAAAAGAGCACTACCTTCTATCCTTCAAAAGTCTTCCTTCTTAGTAGCCTGTCCCAGGGCACACGCTAGAGATGACAGTAGCTAAAGGCCACCACAGCTGCTGTCAGTTTCAGTAAAATGATTCCTTCAGCCCCCAGCCCAAGAGAGAGGGAAGGCCAGTGGCCAGAGGGGCCATCACAGCCCCAGATCCACCAGAATAGCGTTGGAAACAAATTCCAGGAAAACCACTGACGGAAGGGAAGCAGAGGTTTGTTAGAACAAAAATTAGAAAAAGGAAAACCAACAAGATGGCTTTGCCTTTCAATGGCAACAAGATAGACAAGCAAAGCCAGGCCTCCTGGGAAGTTCTTGTGCTGTGGAGCAAAAGCCACTGCCTGTGGTCATGTTTTACGTTCTTTCGTATGGGTCCAAGTATCAACTCAAGAGGTCTGGTTTGGAAGCGGCAGACCACTTCTATGTGTGGAGAAGAGCGTGGCACTGCAGCACAACTTCAGGCAGTTATACCATTTCCAACGCGCTCATGGATGCATGTTCTGGAGAGGATGCCCTCTTTGTGCTTTTAGAACGGAGACCATGGGGTATACCTTTCCATTTCAGAAGACAAGACCACCTGACATTTAAGATTGCATATTTGTGTCACAGTATATTTTGGAGATCAAACGGTTCATAACCCAACACAGAATAATCTGAATGAAAATACTTCTTCAGGAGCTTGCTTTCTCCCCAAGGAAGGTGAAGAAGACAAGCCTACCCTGACAGGTTCTGAAAGCACTGCGTCTCAGCATGATGTAAACACAGCCCCAAGAGGTCAGATGCATAATTCTGCTTCTAGCATTTAGCTTGAGAAGCCAAGAACTTCTGTGGACCAGTCACAAGTTAGTCTATTTTCCTTGAAATGTGTAATGCTTCTACTTGACTTTCAAGGTTACTTAAGATATCTGAACCCCTAAGAAATGTAGCTGATTAAAGAAAATTATTAATATGCAATATCTTTCAAGTCACAATATTGGCAATAAAATACTATACCCGCCCCCAAACCAAACAACACAGCAGCAGTATAAATAGGGAGATAATTTCACACAGAGATGGAGAGGACCCATGTGTGAAACACCCCATGCCGACATCTAAGTACTGTACATTCTAATGAGTCACTAGACACTAGAAATGTGAGTTTAATTAGTGGTCTGCTCTCACTTTCTTACATCAGACTTCAAATTGGCAATTGATTGGGTCAGCAGGAGAGGGAAGGAAATGACGTATAAAAGACAGTTACCCCCCCAAAAACATTTCCTTTTCCTTTACGTTTGTCAGCCATGAGAGTATCTTGATGCGCATCTCTCCTTGGCCCCAATCAAACTTACGGTAGCAGCTGGCCTGTAAAGGGTCGTACCGCACGTTCGCTTTCCTCGGGCTGAGGCAGAGCTGCTGCGACCTACAGTTGCACGCTTGAGCATTGAGGCAGCAGAACTGCACTTGTGGCACTCTACCAGCTGCCACCTTGGGGAAGCAACACTGAATGTTGTGTTAAGATTTGATGGTCAAAAGTGAGTTGTCATTTAGGCACAGTTTGGGATTCTAGAGACAAGGTTTCAGTCCCCAGCTGCTTTCATAGATATTGTATGACTTTGAATGAGCTGCAGTTTCTGTACTTTAACTCCCCATCTAAGGAATAAAATAAATTACCTTCTTTTTCCTGCCATTTGTCCAAATTGTATTTCTGGGAACTGTTCAGCCCAGAAAGTCTCGAGAGTTTACAGACAGGCTAGTACAGTCCCAACTGCAATTTCTAGAAGTTATCAGAATTCAATTAAAAGCTATTAACAGCAGTAGTATTTTCACGATTTTGCAAAAGCAAGTCATTCTCAACACTTTAAGAGAGAGAGTGGGAGAGAGTGTGCATGTGAAAGCACACACAAAGTAGTATTTTGAAGCAGAGCAAAGCTAGAAGTCTCTGCTCTTCTCAGTCTTACCCTTCTGGTCTCAAACCACTGCAAGGGTTAAAATAAAAGATGCCTACATCTTGGATCATCTTTCTGTCTAATAAATACTATTAATAATTGAAGTTTTTAGGGAGTTGCATGTCCAGCTTTCCTTAAAAAGACCATATTAAGGTATTTAGGAATTTTATTTACTGGATTAAAAAATTTAGATCTAACTTCAGTCTCAAGGCAGAGAGATTGTAATACTGGCTGCACATACTCATGGGAAACAATGTATTCTAAGAGAGGCAGCACACACTAAGAATGTAATGATTTGACAATACTGTATAAAATCAGGTCTCAGTTCTTAAGTCTATATTAAAAACAAGATGACCACAAAGAACCCAGGAGCTTTTTTTTTTTAAGCATCTTATTCACTCATCAGGAATGTGTAGTATTTTACTAAACAGTCAAGAAAATACAGCCAAAACAAATTGTTTTGCTTGGCAGCCTGAAAAATCCAAATTGTTGAGACAAAGACTGCAGAAACACTGTCAAAAGCAACTTGTTTTAAGTACAGCCTGATATACGCAGAAGTAAGAAAGCCAAGTTCAAAATGATTTAGAAGATGACTTTGCTTTGCTGAATGGACAAAACCAAAATAAATATGGGACCCAAAGTAACTGCAGTTTTTGCTTCGTTTCCCGTGCACACCATGGGTGTTTTCAGGATCTTTTCAGAGACAGAAAGCAATCCTTACGTCAGCAGAGACCAATTGCAAGAGCAAAAATAGAGCAAAGCACTCAAAAACAATCTAAGTAATTTTAGTCCATACAGAAAGACAATGCCAAAGATACACAGCGTGAAGCTTCGGAGGAAATTCCATGACCTACTCTTCGGTGATACATATGTACAGCATTCTAGCCTGCCACTGTTCCTGGTTAGCCGGCGCAAACTCATGCTGACAGTAGCTGGTGTGTGCATGGTCTTACGCTCATGAACAGCTGGCTAAAGATTGATGCAGGTACTTGAATTCTTAGCCGAGAACACCTGGTCATGCAGATTAAAACAAACCCTGAACACAGATACTCCTACCACAAGTTAGAGTGGTTTTTTCCCCTCAAGAACTAATAGTCAACAGTAGTCTGGCAGCACTGTGTTTTAAACATCTGTAGTCTAGATCAAAAAGGGAAGGGAAAACCCAGAACCCCAGGCATCACTCTTCTTTCTTTCCAGGGAAGCACTGCCATTTATGCCAGCTTGATAAAAATAATCGCACCTAAGTATAGTTTGTAAGAAACAATTCTAATATCAGGCTGCTAAGGAAGGAGGGGAAAAAAAAAAATATTTTCTGTCACTTTCTTCCTATTTAAAAAACAAACACAAAAACAACCAGGACTTGTACAAAGAAGGATATTGAAGACTTTTAGTTTTACATAAAGGAATCAGTTTGCAAACCACTTTTTTTTTAATAGTACAACATAGTTTTTTTCTTTCTAAATAATTGCTGGGATTAGATCACTTCTATAGCAATATAATTAGGGGAATATAGACAGGGAGGCAGCAACCAGATTACTGAGGGGACTGAAGCTTAACACTTCCTCTTCTTGCTTTTTTTGGTTTGTTTGTTTTTAAACACACCTTGAAGGCGTCTCTTTTCAACAAATATCTAAGGGCCTGTTGAAAGTAGAAGAGAGCTGAAGGAGGAAAAAGCCAGTAGTTAAAAAGAAAAAAGTATAGCTCTAAAGCTACCTTCACAACTATTCTACTTTTATCACGACCAACAAATTTTTAGATGTGCCTGTGTCAATTTTAAGCATTTGGAATAAAACTTATTTTAGTTGGTAGCATGAATTAGAAATAAGACTCCAACTTATTCCATACTGCTCTGTGCATTCAATGTGCTAGCTGAGGTGTCAGTCATAAATTACATTTTCTGCCCGCTACTAAATACATTAAAAAAAACACCAAACAAAAAAAAAACCCCACCAAAACCAGAAAGTTCTGAGTTCAGGAATAGTTGCAGAGAAATTTATTTCCAAACCCAGACATGATTCTTGTTTTCCATTTATATCTTGGGGTCTGTGCTGAGTTTCACTAAATTTTTACTTCAAACAAACTAAGAAACCTCAAAGGCTAAACTCAGCCAAAATGTCAGCTTTCATCTCACTTAAACCTGAAGCTGTAAATAGAATGCCCTGAATTCATAAACCTGGCTTTAGCTCCAGTTAAAAATGTAACCCACATTTCAAGATGCATTATGTTTATGAGGGCTCCACCCATGAACCAAATCACTCCCTCCAATTCAACCTCTAGTTTTAAAATGTCAGCTTATTTGCAATGCCATGAGAATTTGTTGCTTCCAGAGTAGTTTTCCTTCTGAGAACTGCTACAGTTTTCTAATAAAAATATCGTTATTTTAAATGTTGTCTAAAAGCTAATTCAGCATTTTATATTGTATTTCTGCTTTGTTTGCCTTGTTTGAGAGTTTAAAAACAAAGAGGTAAGACAAGATCTTTACAAACACATCAAACAGATAAAAACGGTGGAGATATTCATGCAAGTGTTTGCTGTGATACGAACAACTTAAGCCTTATCTCACATTTGTGCTTAAATTGAGAACACAGAAATCTTACTTTTGATAGAAGTGAAATTATCAAGCCCTTCAACGATGTCCTCCCCCAAATGAAAGCAATTTAGTTCACTGTTGTCTGGGTAAGTTTGACAACCATGGAATTAGGGAATACACTGCCCTAGCTACCATGAGAAAAATTTGTCCATACCTAATCAACTGGAATCACCATAGGCATCACTGTAACAGCTCAGAGAGGCTCCAACTTGGCCTACCCTCTTCTCTATTGTTCTCACTACCCTCTCAGTTTTCTTGAAGTTACAAGCAAAAATGATTTTGCTGTTGTATTTTCTTACCATCTCAATGTTAAAAAATTAAAAAAAAAAAAAATCAAGCCTATTGGTTTTACTGATTTGCATCTCTGCTTTCTCCTTCTCTGCAAAAGCAGAAAGTGAATGCCACATTCCCTTCCTTGGGTAAGCCACAGCACGTTCATGCAAAGCTGCAAAAGAACAAAGGAATTTCATGGAAAGAATAACCCATCATGAGGTAAAGCTCATGGAATGGAAAGAGCCTGACAACCTAAAATAACAGCGGGAACAGATCTTGCTCACAAGACACCAAACGCACATTACAACATGTCAACCTTATTAAATAGCTCATTCATGTTTCTTCACTGTTTCCCCACACTGGAGTGATTGGGCAAGGATACTTCCCGGAGAAATTGCCTTCCAGTATTATCTTATCAAAGTACTGGTTAGGGAAGAGATGAAAAAGTAAGCACGAAGCAAGATCTCCACTTTTAGAAATGGAAGACTTGGCCAGCTGAAGGATTTGGTTGAAAGACTGACACAATATGGGGCACACAAACCAACCAACCCACACCCCATAAAGCAAGACAACATGGATTTCTAGAGTTTTGCTAAAGGTCATGCAACTTTTCAACCTACAGCTGAGGCACAGCTTTTATCTCTGGTCAGCAAGGAGGGAGAGGGAAGGAGGGAAGTGCAGCTTAACTGAGACAAATCATTATTTCTAAAGCAATGTCCTCCCTGCCTCACTTTTCTTCAGCAGTCATGAGTGGTTCCATCTCATTCTGCGATCCTTTGTTCATTACAGAAAAGCATGAAACTAGAGCATCTATCCATTGCAGCCCTTCATTTTAAGACACCAGAATGATAGTAAAAATAATCTTAATCAGCAAGAGATAAGCCACAGGTTGGGTTGAAAACCACTTCACTGGGCATACAAGCATTTAAAAGAAAAGACAACTATCAGTTACAGAGAAAATCCATTTGAGTACAGATGCATCTCATCATGGATCCCTAGGCAGTGCGTTACAGGAAGCACTATCTCCAGGAAATTCAAGTATTCAGAACTTACAAAATCCTATCAAAACAGAGCTTAGAAATAAAATTACAGCTGCCACATTCCCAAGACTGAGTTTACGTTTTGCACCAAAAAGGCAGGGAGAGACAAAACTGTTGCTTCCAACATATTATTTATTTCACCTTACTGTCAATGAGGTGCATACTCTTCTCACTACTATTCTTTTCTTGACAGCTTCACCCAAGTACACCAACACTAAAAGCCTTTTTAGTTTTATACTAAAAGCCAGCAGTTTCTTCTTCTAAGGGTCCTGAGAGACCGGAGGGCTTGCCAGAGCTACCAGGCTTCCACTGCAGGAAATCCTCCACTGGCTCCTGAATCACCACAGCTTGTAAGGGAGTTCTAAGGCAAGTGAAGACTGCCAATGCTTTCTCTTAAACCACAGCACTATAGGTTGCAGGCACCCAGGAGCCACTTTATAGGTTAATCAGTGTCTGCAAAGCACAGATGGGGTGCTAGCTAGAGGCAATGACCTTGAGCAGGGAAGGCTGATGAGTCTCCGGTTGGGTCAACTGGATTAATTCAGTATTCACTGGCATTTTCAAATAATTCCTCTGCATTAGGCTAAGATTATATTCATAAGCTCATACATGATTATATACATAATTCAAGGGCAAATAATGGAAGAAATGGAGGCAGGAGCAGCTTTCTCTGGCAGATAAAGCCAGAAAACACGAAATCTGACACGTGTGATCAAATTAACATGTTCACCATACCCAGTTGAGAAAGACAAGGAGCTGGGGTTTTTCTCCCATATTTTCTTCAACAAGAAGAATTAAACTTAATTTCCCACCAAAAACATGGTACAGCTATGTTTCCTCACACTGCAGGTTCAGAAAGATGGGGAACTTTGGCTCTGTATTAGCTTTACGAGAATCCCATTGTAAATAATACTTTAACAAAACACCAGAGGTAGAGTCAAACAAAACAAAACAAACAAAAAACCAACACCAAAACCAACCCATCACAGAAAAACACACTGTTTTTTAAGAGGAATTAACACCATGCTTCTAGCATAGCCCCACAGGTGAACAAGTTCCATTACATTCTACTACATAACAAAAAGATGAAGCATAAGATAGGCTTTAAGAAAAAAATCCAATGAAGTTACCAGATATCTGTACCTTTCTCAGCCCATTCCCTAACTACTTTACTCCTGACTTCAAAAATTAAATGTAGTTATGCTTATACAATACCTAAGACACTGGTGTTGCTAAACACAAAAAGCTGTTCAGAAAGTTTACTATGAAAAAAATCAGGTAATTTGGAATGAATCAGTTTTACACCTGCACTTGAAGGTGCAGAGCATTAGTTCATGAAGTACATTTAGTGTTTCTGTTGATGTAAATCAAAGCACACCAGCCCCGCTTCATTTGCGGGACGGTCACTTTACACAGCTCTCATAGAACACAGGTGACATTAGTCTATCAAGTCTCAAAATGAAGATAATATAAATGCACAAGGAACAATATAAAATGACAAACCAACTTGAAAAATAAAACTGCTGCATATTTACCTTCGTTTCCCAGGAGAACGGAGCCGAGTGTTCATCTTGCCAAGTTATGTCCTGAAATAAAATTCAAGAATGACTAAAAATCAGAAAAGCAGCTTTACCTGTTCAGGCGCATCATACACAGATGACATTAAGTTGCGCTGCTGGAAGCATAACAACCACTACCACAGAACTAGCTAAAAAGTGAGAGCACTGCTTAGAGATGGCGCTGATTACAGTTTAAGACTGACTGAAAGCAAGTTCTCTGAGGGGAGGATTATTAATTAGCATATCAATTTAACCTACAAAATATATGAAGGCGTAACCTGGTCTAAACCTCTTGAAACGGTTTCTCCACAAATAGCTTTAAAACATGTATTTCCAATTTTCTACTAGGCGTTTTATTTCGTGGCCACTAGCAACACACAGGGACAGAAATAACAAGAGGAGCAGAGGCCTTCGGAAGATAAAGTCCCGTTTCCTCCCCTCCACAGACCAAAGAACACGTGTGCAACCAGGCAGTCAGGTGGCAGTGAAACAGCTGTGCGTCCATCAGGCCAAGCCACAGCTGGATCCAGCCCTGACAAGACACATCATTATGCCACTTTAATGACGATCTGTCTGAAGTAACTGTTCAGTGCTGTTGAAAGTACCATACAACGTCCAGAGTAAAATCCCAATCTGAAATGGCTTCTTTTAAGAAGCTTTTTTTCCTGAAAATAATCCCAATTGGAGAAATTAAATAACCTCTTCATACAGACCATAGCCTCCAGAAAGACATGTGACTGATGTCAAAAAAAGAAGGGGTGAAAAAGACATAAATAAATGTTGTTCGCCTTTGTTTAAGACTTGCAACAACATGATTGCACCTCTATTGCTAGTCATGGATGAGACTCATTTGTACATTAGATGTTTGTGTAGAAGTAATGAGCTGCACCCTCCACACTGAGCGTGCGACTGCTTGGCCACCCCTGTACATTGGGGAGGAACAGTGGATGGAAGGAGGAAGGCCAGGAGTAACCACGCACAGGGAAGGAGAGGACCGGACAAGACAAGACCTGGAGTGCCTGTTTCACACTCCCGCTGTTCAAAGAATAACAGAACTAGACCATGTTTTAAGCTAACACAGGAACCCCACATCTTACCATGACTGCCCTTTTCTTCTTATTTCTGACCTCTGCCTTTATAGAAATGCATTTCTCAGACATCTGATAGCATTCTCCTGATCTGCCATCTCTTACTTCACTCTGAGCAGATTTTGCTGGCCAAGGGCTAAGAAATCACAATTAGAAGTGTCTGAAACCATCTCCTAGACGTGAAAACATGTCATTCTCCAACTATTGTTCATCTGTGAAACACAAGGTTTCTAGCAGCAAAGTATTTGTTCTATACATGAGGGTGATCCCATGCCCTTAAAAAGAACTGGGATGATCAGAAACCATCCAAAAGGAAAGGCCTGGGCTCTGCTGGACTGCTCTTTCTGGCCAAAAGAGGAAATTTGGTACAGGAAATTTTTGCCATGAACACAAGTGTAATACCAGGTTCTCTCATTCTAGGAAATGAATACTCATCTTTACTAACACTTAAGGGAAACAAAAGGAGTACATTTTTAGTATCTGATCTAACTTCTATCACTGCTGACCACATGGGAATGCCACACCACTTGGGTGGGATGCCTTGCAGCAGATGAGTGTCAAATTATTTAAAAATCTTTTTAGGACCATATCCTTTGCCTCTGAAACTGTTGGAGTTGGCACTTCATTTCTGAAGCACGCTTGACAGGAATCATGATGCAGGAGGGAAGAGAGACAGGAGAGCCCAGCAACTGGACTGAATCTCACACATTGGAGGTAGGACCATAATCCTTCTGTCCACATGGGGACAGATGAATACTTGACTTCAGCAATAAAGGACAGAAATTAAGTCCAGCAAGCAGTGTAACACTCTTATATGCTGTCACAGCACCTTAAAGTTCCAGACATGTGGGCATAGCTGTCAGTGAGTTTTACCTAAGGAGTTTAAAGAAAGCTCTGACTTCTTGCCATTTACCAGACATGCAAATGAGCCGTGGACCGGTTTTAAACCTGGAAGAGAGCCAAGACCATCCTCATCCTGGATCTGAGACAGCCAGTTTTTTATTTTCCTGTATTTGAGGCAAGTGTAGACAGCACTGGGAGGGATACCTCTTCACTCAGCACTCCCTGCATATCCCCAACCCACCAACATAGCTGCTGCAAGTGAGCCCCGCTGACAAAAGGCTGCCCACAGAGGGACAGGAAAGCAGCACAGAGAAAAGAGGAGCGAAGGTATGAGGTGGTTTTGCACGAGGATACGTCATTCCCGACAGGATGGAGCAAGTCAGATTCCCACTTCATAGAATGTGATGTCTTCTCAACTGCCACTGCACTTGCTGGCACCTCAACTTGTAACCTCAACCTTCAGGTTAGGTAGACAAAAAGCTCCTGAAATTCATTAATGGTATTTTGGTACCAGTTGTTGGAAAGTTCTCGTCAGAGACAAAGATCTAAGACTTTCATAGATAATTTCAAAAGATGGAAGTAGCAGATGCTTGCTAGGGAGGTGCAACTCCCTGAAAGAAAAGGACAATAGATTTTTCTTCTTAAAAGGATGGCTCATTGTACCTCAGGCTGCAAAGCTCAGCACACCTCAGAGCCAGTATGTCTGAGGAGCTTTGCCCACATTCAAGAGATCTTCCATGGGGTCTAGGAAAGGATAAAATAGCATAAAACATGGTTTGAGGATACAAAGCTGCAAGGAGCTGATGTCTGTGGTTATGTGAAGTGTACTTGAGGCTAGGATGAAAAGAGACAGTCGTCAGGTTCTGTCTGTTGTCAGGGAAGGGAAGGAAGTTTGTGGCCTCCACCTCTTGTGCCCTCACATAGAGGACATCCAGAGGACCAAGTCAGAAGCAGGAGAATAACACAGTTCAACAGTTTCCTGTCTGATGTGCCTGATTCATGTTTGTCACCAACAAAACCTAAGAAATAACTTTGCTTTCTGTAGATTAAAAAAGTTCTCACATGCTTGAAGAAAATGGGAAAAGCATCAACTATTTTAATATTCACAAAAGTAAATTATGACTGGAAATTTTAGAGAAAAAGTCTTCCAGGCTATTTATCATCAACACAGATTAGAAAAGATCCATATCTGATCAGCTTTTGTCTTCAGCACACAACAAAGCCTTCTCCCAGAAAGCAGGCAAATAAATAAACTTTTGTTCACCAGCATTAAAGAACCTATTTGTAAGAAACAGGGCCTCATGCACCATATTTCATAGCTAAAAAAAGAAAAAAAAAAGAGAGAGATGGAGGGGCAAAAATCCGGTCATGCACTTGACTTCAACCACCGTTGTGGTTTGCACAATATACAAAAAAGAATCACAAATTACGTTTGCTATATGTAGGCACCTTGTTGCAAAACAGCATCGGAATCTCAAAATGGAAGACAGTAGTAGAAACACACCAGCCTATGTGACCTGAGCATTGCTCAGAGCAGCTGACAGTAACCAGGTAGTCACAAACCCACCAACAAATGCATCTTAGAAGTGTTATCAGAACAGGACTTGCTGGTTATTGGGGTTTAACTGCACTCAAGAGCTGCCCTGCATTTTTTTGTTTTTTAAAAAGCACAAATCTATAGCAGGCCCAACATAGGAGTTATTGCTGTATTGAATATTTGTTGTTTTAAAGCACTTTTAAGTAGGAGATGAAAGGGTTGATCCTTTGGCGTGCTGCCAAAGTTCTTAAGGCTAAACAAAACAAATACCGTATCCGCCTTCAGGTAGATAAGTCAAGTTTCCGTAATAAAAGATGATGAATGAAGCTAACCAAGCTCTCTTACCTGTCTTTCCTCCACATAAAATGTTTACCACTTCCTAAAGCACATGGATTTTTTTTTCAATGAAAAGCTTAGTTACTTCAAGTCCAGTTCTCTGAGCTGCTCGTTACCACTTAAATACTCAATAGCCCTTTGAAAAAAAGAACTAAAGAAAAAAGAAAAATTAGACCTTAAATCCATGTGTGTATCACACACTTGTGGATAGAGGGACAGTATTAAGAGAAGAGAGAGAACTTGTTGTAAACTGGATAGCTAAACTATCTTTCACTGAACTAAACAGGGAGAATCCAGCAGCATAAATTAACATCAAATCAGATGCTTAACACAAGCTGACGACTACAGCAGTCAAAGGGTGTCAGCCTCTCACACACTGCTGTTTTTGCACCTATTCCCCTCATGATGGCTCATAATTAATGGCGTATTTCAGAAATAGCCCATTTATATTACATTTATATTCAATCCTGGATTCTATTTTCTGATTTTCCTCTCCTCTTATTTTCTACCACTACGAGCATTAGACATAAATGGAGAAATGCCACCAACTGGAGGCTTGTCGGAAAAGAAGAAGCTGTGCTTGAAGGTTGCAGCCTCCAAAAACCCTCAGCCAGAAGGCTTGGGCTGTCTAGACACAGGCAATGATGGTGAAGCAACAAATAGTCTCCTGTTGCTGGGCCCATGTGCGATACCAAGTCAGTCTTCAGCAAACAGGACAAAACTTCTTTCATGTGGGTGTTAAATGACCCTGTTAGCCTGGAAGAGATGAAAATATATGCATGACCTAGACCTTGACTTTAGAAAACAGAAGAAGATAGAGAAGCAAGAGACATTGGGTTTTGTTAGGAGGAGGTGTTGGAAAATACCAAGGCCTGCAACACCATCAAAGTTGTTGAGCTGGTATATTCTGGGGTCTGTTTCAACTAGGAAGTCTTAACTTCACACCCTGGGGCTGACAGTGGACACATAATGGTTGGTGTTAGCAGTTATGCGCGTCCTCACCGTGACAGCGTGGTGCACACAGGTAGATGCCAAGTGAACTGCGTGCCACCCAACCCAACTCTGTTTTGTGGGAGACAAACGCTGTTTGAGGAAACAGGGAACCCAATTCCTGTACTTCCACTTCTTTCATCAAACTTTTTAATAGGTTTTAAAATACCTTCAGTTCTTTCACAGCAAGATGGCAGATTAAAAAAGCACCTCTGGTGTCCTGGCAC